ACGTTAGCTGGAGAGGCACCAGCAACCCTCCTGACCCACTAAGGGACAAGGGTGTAAAGACATTGGATGGATGAACTTCATTGCCTGAAGATTGGGCTGAGTGATTGTAAAGCATGCATCTCAAAAGCTGTGGGAGGAGTTCGCTCAGATACAACATATTTATAAGAGACAAAATGGCAGCGGCGGCTTTGAACCAAAATGGCCGACTTCCTGTTGGGTTTGGACCATATCTCCAAGAAACTTTGTTGTAGGTCATGGAAAGATACACTGTTACTGAATTTCATGATTGGCGGTCAAAGCAAAGATTTCTAGGGGGCACTGTGGAGGAATTAGGCCACCCCCATTTTTCTGATGGATGTCATAAATGACATGATGATGAATTCTGTCAACGCTAGCTGCTGGCTGAACTGTGTGAGCGTGGCCGAAAGGCAAATTTCAATCCCTCGCTGTATGTGTATGATTGTCTCTAAATTATACATGCATCATCTGATTTGCACCAACCTTGTCATGATTGACTTTTGTGAACCTTTAAAGAGCCTAATATCATTAAATTGTAATTTGACTCCATTGTGCCCCCTAGGTTATTCCATCAGCTATATGTCCTTACTACATCAGTCTTTCTGTACCAGATTTTTGGTGCATCATCAGGGGGCACTGCCAAACACATCAATGTGTTTCGCCTGGTGGATGGGTGCAGTTGACGGTGGCAAATGGGTGCTATTGCTGGAGCTCCCGCGGACGCCACGAGGCTGGAGCATCTCTGAGGTGTGAGGGCTGTTGGAAGCTGCTTGACGATTTAATTAGTTATTCTTTCTGTGTGATTTCTTCAGGTACTTTGAAGTGACAGATGGTTTTGACCAACTCCCCACAGCTTTCTACCAAGTTTTAAATGCCACAATCCTGCTGAACTCCAAAGTGAAGCTAATTGACCAAACAGGCGGGGCTAATGTGACTGTAACATATGAAGACTGGCGGAACTCAGGTTCCCTGTCAAAAGTGACAGTGGACTATGCCCTTGTTACAGCCACAGCCAAGGCTACCCTCTTTGTTGACTTCTACCCTCCTCTGTCTGGTAACAAGATGGAGGCCCTGCGCTCTGTTCATTATGCCAGCTCCACAAAGGTGGTGCTCAGTTTCAAGGAACGCTTTTGGGAGAAAGAAGGCATCAGAGGAGGGAAAAGCATCACCGACCGACCGTCTCGCTTTATCTACTACCCCAGCCATGGGTTCCCAGGTACCACTGCAGGGGCCCTCCTGGCTTCCTACACCTGCTCTGATGACTCCACCCTTTTTCAAGGCATGAATGAGGAGGATCTGATGGCAGTAGCTCTGGAGGACTTGGTGAAAATCCATGGGGAGTATATCCGACCGCTCTGCACAGGAGGTCTGGTGAAGAAGTGGGGCCTGGACCCTTACAGTTTTGGAGCCTTTGCCCTGTTTATGCCGTACCAGCAGGGACACTATGCACGAGAACTGTTCCAGAGTGAGGGACGGGTGCACTTCGCCGGGGAACACACAGCAACTCCTCACGGATGGATCGAAACTGCCATGAAGTCTGCTCTCAGAGCAGCTAAGAATATCAACAGCTTGACTCTGTAGCTTCATGTCTGTTTTTTTCTCTGAAAAAAAGCTCTAAATAGTTCAGCTTTTTAGAATTTTTTCAATATCATGAGCCCTGGTCCATTCTTCGGCTGATGCAAGATCTGTTTTATTGTGATGTGGAGATGTTGCTAGGTCTCAGTATCAATAGTTTTAGGTGTATTTCATTGTAGGAAAATGTTTTATTAAGTCGTTCAAACTCAGTGGTGATTCTTGCATGAATTGTCTTTTTCTTGCTCTTCCACAGTTTTTACCACTTTTTCTTTTCTTCATGGCTGCTTCCATGATACAAACATCTACTGAAACCATCTCAGTAAAAACTCGCTGCCAAGTGCACATGAATACAAGCAATAAAAACTTGCTCTTGAAGCAAATGACAGATGACTAAGTTCTGTTTTTAATATAGTGCTCACTTATCCTCTTTCCAATACTACCCTGGGCAATTACCCATATCAAGAACAGGACTGATCGAAATGAATCCATTTAGCTTTGTAGATTTGAAAGTTTTTAATCAGACTGAGATTTTTAATAACTGATGACTTAATGTCAGTAAATGGGGATTTTAGCTCAACCTGAAAAATGTGCAAAGCAGAGAGTATTAGGACAATGAAATGCACTCAGATTTTTAACATTTCTAGTATTTTGCTTGTTGCAGCCTCTTTAGACTTTAGCAATTACAATGTTTTTACTCAAATTAAATTGTGGCTTTAGTTCACTAACTTTGAATGAACTGTTCTAAATTCAAAGTTATCAGGACAAACCCAAAACTTCATATGTTTTCATATGTTGTGGAAATCATTGTCTTGTAGTTTGTTTTTGAGCTTAAAAGCCATTGCTGTTCTTTTCCCACACTACACCAGGAATGTTGTTTTCACTGACCTGAACACCATCACAAAGTTTTCATCATAACATAACCATATTTTTTGTTTTATGGTTAAAGTCATAGTAATTAGGAACAAAAATAGAATCCCTAAGCCCCCCCCCCCCCCCAAAAAAAAAAAAAAAAAAAAAAAAAAAAATATTTTTTAAAAAACACCCCCTCTCAAATTTTT